AGGGACCCAAAGTGGACACAGAAAGGACCCAACAGGACCCAGGAGGGACCCAATAGGACCAGAAAGGACCCAGAGGGACCCCAAAATGACCAGGAGGGACCCAACAGGACCCAAAAAGGACCAGGAGGGACCCAACAGGATCCAGTAAGACCCAGCAGGACCCAATAGGACCAGGAAGGATTCAGGAGGGACCCAGTAGGACCCACGAGGGACCCCAAAGGGACCCAGAGAGACCCCAAAATGAACAGGAGGGATCCAACAGGACCCACAAAGGACCAGGAGGGACCCAACAGGACCCAAAAAGGACCCAAAAGAACCCCCCAAAAGACCAAGAGAGCCCCAAAATGACCAGAAGAGACCCCAGGGGACCCCAGGGACCCCCCCCCAAAAGCCGTACCGTCCCGCAGGCAGCCTATCCTGTACATCATGGGCATCTTGATGACGAAGGCGAAGAGGTCGTCGATGAAGGTGTTGAGGGCTTTGTAGGTCAACATCCTCCAGGGCAAGTGGGCGACCGACTTCAACTTGTAGTTGATGAAGAGTTGGGGGGTCATGGTGATGAAACCTATTGATGGGGGGGGTCGTTAGCTTAACGAGGAGCCTAAATTTGGGGTGTGGGGAGGAAAAGGAAGGCGTCGGGACTCACCGAAAGTGAGGAGGAAGCCGTAGAGCATGCTCAGCACCCACGAGTACCAACCCTTGTGCTCCAGGTAGAGGAGGCTGTAGACGGCGTAACAACCCAGCAAGGGGAAGAGAATCCACGAAAGGTATCGAAAAGCCATCTAAGAAATGACCCAAAATAGCCTCAAATTAACCCAAAAATGAGTCAAAACGGCGGCCCGGTCACCTCGAGGTGACGCCAACTCACGTCATCGTAGATTTTGGTGGAGGACTCGACGTAGGTGGATTTGTCCTTGAAGGTGACGCGGGGGAAGACCCCCGCCACCTTGTTGTCGCGGTCCAGCTACGGAAAAAGGGGGTAAAATGTCACCAAATTTGGGAGAGAACGGTGTCACCGCACCCCAAAACCGCCCCTACGGGCGCTTACCCGCACATCCATAACCTTTGTGATCTTCCAGAGGTCGATGAGGAGCCCGATGAAGACGCTGACCTGCACCACGAAGTTGGTTTCGTTGTCCAAGATGTAAAGGAGGACGACGAGGGATTGGAAGACGCCGAAAAACACCGAGCGGACCGAGAGGCCCTCCAGGGATTGGCGGCTGTTCCAAAACTGGATATCTGGGGTGGTGGGGGGGGGGAAACAGGGAGTTGTGGTGAATGGAGTTAAATCCAGTTGGTGACAGTCACAAGGGGTGTTCCCCAGGGCTTGGTTTTGGGGTTTCACGTCTTTATCCATGATCTGGATGAGGGGTTCGAGTGCTTCCTCGAGTGACACCGATTTGGGGGGCTGTGTTGATGTAGGAAGGCTCTGAGAGGGACCTGGATGGGCTGAATCCATGGGGTGAGTTCAAGGACAGAAACTGCTTGAAAGAGTCCAGCAGGGCCACCAAGATGAGGTCCAGATCCAGCCCCCATGGTGAGCCAGTGGCCTTGCCGTGTTTCCTCACCATCCAAGCGCTATCACTGGGAGAAGTGAACACTGGGCAGCATCTCCTAATCTGGATGAGGGGATCGAGCGCTCCCAAAGTCAGTTTGCAGGTGACACCGATTTGAGGGGGGGGCAGTGTTGATGTAGGAAGGCTGAGAGGGACCTGGATGGGCTGAATCCATGGGGTGAGGTTCAACAAGGCCAAGTGTGGGTCCTGCATTTTGGGTGCAATAACCCCATGGATGCTGCGGGTGTGGGGCTGGAAACGACCTGGGGTGTTGGTGGACAGCAGATGCCCATGAGCCAGCCAAGAAGGCCAAGGAAGAAGGCCAAGGCCATCCTGGGGTGGATGAGAAGGGGTGGTTGTAGGGCAGAGAGGTTCTCCTGCCCCTCTGCCCTGCCCTGCTCACACCACAGCTGGGATATTGTGTCCAGCTCTGGGCCCTCAGCTCAAGA